TTAGTTTCATTTACACTGCAAAGACTCAAAATCGTAGCAAGTATTTTTAGTTTCTAGTGCAAATATCATCATTTTGTCCTATTTCAGGACTTAAAAGTAACTTTTCAACTATGTATAGAACCATACATAGGTATAGAAGCTCATATACCTTTAGTGTATAAATATTCTAAATGAAAGAATCTATATTTAAATTCTTTCATTTTAAATAAAAAAGTACTAGTTAACGTGACGGATTATTTCACTTATAAGATATTTTCCCATGTTAATAGTCAAAAAATCTGCCAGAGTAACTAGTACTTTTGTGTTAATACTGAAGGATAGTTGACTTAAAACAAATTACTATATCTTGGTGAAAAGTTAGTTTTGTCTTATTTCAGGCACTAAGACATTTGCACTAGAAATTAAACAAAAGTTCTAGTATTTTAAACCCCAAATCAACATTTTGTTTTTAAACAGCCTAAATTGGTGCTGACTTTATGTCTGACTATAAATTAGTTCAAGATACTTGTACTAGAAACCAAACCAAAAATATTTGGCAAAACTTTGGGTTTTGCAGAAGAAAAAGCAACTTGCTGAACACTAATAGACTCGTTACTGTCATGATATGTTGACTATTAAATTATAGCAAAAATTAATGTTTCCTTCAAGTCTGAGTGCTTGGAAGGTGAATAAATCAAACTTTCTTCCAGAAACTCACTTGGTCGTCAATCAGAATAAAGATGATGTGCGGCTGATTCTTCCTCCCAGTCTCACCAGTCTGAACGTTGCTGCTGTTTATGCGGCCTGACTGGGACTGAGCCGACAGGAAGTCCAAGCTGAGGAAAACGCTCAGCACAGTCGCAGCTGCCCGCATCGTTACGGCTCCTACAGAAAACGCAAAACGGGACAAAATAAACTCAAACAACACCAGAAAGACGGAGGAAAGACGAACAGGCTGAAAAATGTCTGAGTGGGCACGGTTTCACAGGAGCATGCCATTGCTGCAGGACGGAGCGTAGATCATAAAACCACATTTGGGATTGACTCGCCAACTTGGCTGAAGCTGTGATCTGAAACGCATCCATCTGCTGGAGGAGGGCTTTAAAAGGCTTTATGAAGCTGGAGCTGAGGAACAACTCCAATAAAGAGCCATGAAAATATTAACTGTGGCAGAGAGAGCAGGAAAAGGTCAGTTTGAAGAATTTCAACACAACTCTTTCACCAGTTGCTGGGATTATGCAGCTGGATTGAATTTAAAACAATCCAGCTTCAGACAGTAAAACGTCTGCAGTTATAAACACTCATTTTTTATAAGAAAAGTCACCATAATCATATTTTGTAAGGTTTTCAGGTAAACCAAGGGCAGCATGACACGCCTAAAAAACGCCATAATATAATCGTTTCATATCAGCCGATAACAATAATTAAGTTTTCTTTTATATCTGCAATACTGCCAGACTGGTAGCATAACATTTTCTGTTTTGTCCAGTCTTCACTCTGTGCCCTTTTAATTTTTAAGCAGTTATGAGGCAAAGTGGAAAAACCTTAAACTGCTGCTGCGCAAGTTACTCATCAGGTTGTTGCTAGGTAACCAATGTTAGGGCGGAGCTTGAACCTGCTAGTTACTCATCAGGTTTTTTTTTTTTTTTTTTGCACTTTAGACTTGTTAAAAGAAAAATCTTCCCAATAAATAGATATTTTGGCAACTAAAAACAGGACTTGAGTCACTCTTTGTAAACATTTGTGACTTTTAGTAGAGTTCAGTAACTTAATAAAAAACATTTATTTTAACTTTTACAAATAAAAGTTCTATTTATGATCAAATGAAAAATAAGACCCTTAAAAAATGGTACGTGGTGTTGAGATTTTCACATTTACCGTTGTAAAAGGATTCTGTCAAATAAATATAACAAAACTCCATGGAAAAAATGGACAATTGATGTTCAAAAGAGCTTTTTGTAATGTTTTACTGAGTTTGAGATGATTAACTAAAATGGTCAAAAAACAAAGAGAAACTGGTGGAAGTTATCCAATTTTACCAATTTTATCTTTTTGTGGCTTTCTTTTGAATTATTTTGTTAAAACAGGAGAAAATTTAGAGAAAGTTTTTTTTCACAAAATACTTCAATGACATTCATGTGACATGACAGTGACATGACAGTAAATTTGTGTGCATTGTTTTATAAATAAAGTGCAAAAAATTATACTTTGAAAGAAAATCAAACCAAATGTTTTTTTGAAGTACATTTGAGAAACTATATAAGAGAAAATTAGAAAAAGGCTTCTGAAACTAAAAAACTGAATCTGATCATGCAAGTAATGATCCAGTTTTGCAATTTTGGATCGATTTCCTCATTTATTAAAACTTGCTGATCTTCATTGGCTTATTTTACAAAATCTCACAAAAACACGGTGATTTCTTGATTCAAATGCAACAAAATGTGTAAAACTTCTAGTAGTCTGAAAACTTTTGCTAGGTCTAAAAGTTGGAGACTCAACAAAGACTGGAGTTATGAAAACTGGCGTTGACTGAAGTTTTCTATATAATTGTGGCGATGCAGCTTGCTTTCACTGGAAAGTTATTCTTTGCACTGAGGTCTGACTTTAAGCTTGTGGCCTTTATGAAGAAAAATGTTTTGGTCCTTCTAAACTGTTTCATCCACTGAAGATATTTATCTGGACGCTTTCCCCTTTTGTTCTTCGCTTCTCCACTGAAGCTGCGTTCAGAAAACAAGCCAAAAAACAAGGAAAACTCTGTCAGACTCCAGAAACGCTGGAGATTTACTGATCAAAACATTTAAAATGGCACAATGAGGTTTAACTATGTGGATCTAAAACTGCTGAAATGACTAAAATAAAGTATATTTATTCAATGAAATCTTTCTGATAGGAAAGTTAATGTTTTTACCTTAACTAACATGACTTATGAAGTAAAAAGACAAACAGAGGTAATCAGGCTTATATTGGACATGTTTTAGCTCGTACAAAGAAACAACATGATGAGAAGCAGCTGCCTGAATGGAGACCAAACTGAACTGGTTCCCACTGAGTTACTGGAGCACATATTTCCCTCTGACTGTGTCAGTGTGCTGGGTATGAACTAACTTCCTGTGACGGCTCTAAATGCACTAATTCCTCTTGGATGGACGCAGTTATCCTGTTGTTTAGTTAATTTCCTGCTTATTCCTGTTTAAAATGAGGTTAGAAATACTAATAATGCAGCAACAAGGTAGTTATAAAGAGTTTAAGTCATTTTAAAGGTTCACTTTCCAGGATAAATAAGCCTCTAAACATTTTTTTTGTTTGTCTTTTCATGCAATGTGATGTTGAAATCAGCCTGAATCAATACCTCGATAACGGATCAATAGGAATGAACGGCTCTTCACATCCCGGCTCCTGTTTCTGCTGCGATGCGGTTCATTTGGCGACCAGTTTGCAGAAAACGCCGCATGTCCTGAACTTTTCCCTCCGTCCTTCCCTCTGACTGAGAGTCCTGGCTGCGGATGAAACACGACCGACACCGTCACGGTACCGGGGCGGACTTTCAAAATAAAACACCCACTGTGTCTGCAGGCGCTGCGCCACACTCTGTGACCAGAGGGGGCGCTGTTGCAGGATTGCGCCATACTCAGCCACACCAAAGGAAAACCAAAAAAGAGCTGAGAAAGGATAAAATGTAACTTTTACCACTGAAGTCATGATGAATTACAGATTCATTTAGATCTCAGCAGATATTATGTGAACTAAACATTAAACTAAATTGTTTCTAAGTCTATTTTATTAATGGCAAAAGAACTTTCAGCGTTCTGAAACAGTTAATGTAACTTATTTTATAGTGTGGCAACAATCCAATAAGAGCTATTATATTCTATTGCTATTTATATTTTCATAAGAGGAGGGAGGAAAGGAGGGAAGGAGGGAGGGAAGGACAGAGGGAGGGAGGGAGGGAAGGAGGGTGGGAGGGAATGAGGAAAGGACAGAGGAGGGGAGGGAGGGAGAGAGGGAGGGAAGGAGGGGAAGACAGAGGTAGGTAGGTAGGTAGGAAAGGAGGGAGGAAGGGAAAGAGGGAGGGAGCCGGCGCTGCGGAGGAATCCAGGAATGTTCCTGGTTCTTTACGCAACTTCTGATGCAGTAATGAAAAACATGCAGAAAATTTATTCAGCAGTATCTCCAGGAAAACAACACACATTCAGGAAGTTATGTATGTATGCATGAGCAAAGTATTTTACATGCGACTCGTCCAAACCTGGAAATCATTTATTTATATTTTTAGAGCATGTGGCTGGAAACGATTCATTACAGTCTGAATCACTGGCGCTGAGTAAGAACATTGTTTTATTTCCTTGATCTTAAATGATTAAATGATGCTGAGGAATGCTCTGCAGCCAGGGCCGGCCCAAGCCTCCACGCGGCCCTCAGTGAAATCTGGTTTTACATGTGAAGCTGATATTATCCCCTGATCTTATCTTCATCAGCAAAGGTTTAAAAATCAGTGGTGGGCCGGTCTGTCAAAGTCAAAATCAGCAGGTCAGGCTTTTGAAAGATCAGCAACCAGAAAATGTAATCTACACACATATTCATAATATTCTATCGTTAAATAAATTTCTCTTCAACATTACCCCATTACCTATAAATGTCATTTATACCAGGTGAGCAAAACCATAAAAAAATCATGCCAGCAATGTTACATTTATTTCAAAAGGAAGAGGAAGATGTTATGGTTTCCTGCTCTTCTCATACTATGTTGTTGTTAATCAAGCAACTAGAGATTAAATTCAGTGAAAAAAATAATGATTTGGCAAATAACTAATACATTTTAAATGTGCATTTCTTCATTTATTTAATATTTACAATGATGAATGCAGAAACTAATTATGCAACAGATGTTTATTTTATATTATCTTATTCATTAGATCTAAAATTTACTCCTTATGACATTTAATCGGCAACATTTAGGAAAATACCAGTTTTGCTTCATGACCATGTTTTGTAATCCTCCCTTAGGCGGCAGGACTCCACTTCCCATGATGCAGTTCGAGGTAGGAGTCGTCCCGTACACGTGCTGCTGCTGCATAGCAAGCATGAAGTGAAGTGTTATTAATTCCTGGATGCATTTTGCGGCTGTTTTCTGCCTGCGTGTTTTCCCACCATGGAGTCGGAGCAGGACGCCGCGCTGCTGCGTTTAATCCAGCAGCACCTGCAGCTGAGCGGCTACCGAGAGGCCGCCGAGCTGCTGGGGCCACACGTCACTCAGGTGAGAGAGAGAGCTGACCCTGATCCTCCTCATTTAACTCCCACTGGGGTTCACTGGGTTTCTGCTGCTGGGTTTGGGTTAAATGAGCGTTTTATGGGTGTTTTATGAGCTGACATGCGCGTCACGCAGGTTATGTAACAGGATTAGTGAGGTGTGGATGCGTCTGCAGCAGGTTCTGGTTCTGCTGCAGGTTCTGGCCGTCAGGAAGCGAAGCGGCTCTGCAGCCTGCGGCTCCTGGTTCAGGCCGAGCCAGAGAACAGAATGTTACCGGAGCTGCAGCTGCTGCTGCTCACTCTCTGCATTTCTAATGCATTCAGCGACCTGCTCGCTTCAGAATGACCGAGTCTGGACTCAGCATTTAAAAACAACTTTATTTTTTCCTGCAGTTTTTCTGTTTACGCCTGGAGGAAACTTAATCTTTGGCCACCAACCAGTTTCACATTTCAGAATCCTAAAAATATCAGCGAACAAACGTCCAACAGAATCACAGCAGCGTCAATAATCTGCTGTTATTATTCAACATGTTCACTGCTGAATCTAAACTCTGGCTTCTTTTGTTGCAGTTTCATCACCTGTGCATTTTTAAATAAGTAGAGTCAATAAATGTAATTAAAAAAGTGAAAACAATTCAATAAAATGGCTTAATGTTAGCTTAATGCTGAAACGATGATCGTCGACTCGTTTAGCAATCGATTAATCGTCAACAAAAGGGCTTTTGCTGAAGGAACAACGCCGTTAGAGCAGTAAATAAGACAATATGTGCATTTATGACGTTTTAAAAAACAAAACCTTTGTCTGTAAAGATGTTTCACCCCAAACTCATGTGGAGTGGTTTTAAATTCCCATGGTTCATAAAGCAAAATCTCCTCTCATCATCTTTTACTATCAAATTATTAATTAGTGAATAAAAATAGATCATGTCACAATATTTCAGCTGCAGATGCAACTTTTGCTAAAAATGATCAAGTGTTCACTAAAGATATGATGTGTTGTTATATTTTAGGAAATGTTTATGTTCTCATTTAAAAGTGAATTTAAGAATTAATTTGTGTCTTTTAATGTATTTATAAGATTGTACAAAAAGGCTTAAATAAAAAGTGTTCAGAATGTTTCATTTTAAAAAAATCTGATTAATCAATTAATCATTTGAATAATCGATTACTCAACTAATCGTTAGTTAATTTTGGGTTTTTGTGTGTGTAGGTGGAGATGCCAGTGGAAAACTTAAACCTTCAGGACATCTACACTGGATGGATGAAGTAAGTTATTGCATTAAAACTGAACAGAACATTTTATTAACTGGTCTCAGTGGTAAGAGACCTTTTCACACTTGCTTTTTCAATCACATAATTCAATCTACAAACCACAGCTGAAAATATGTCAAAAGATACAAGTAAAAATGGAATAACCTTATAAATTTAGGAAGTCGCTTCCGTTTCTGCTATTTAGGATTAAATTCTGCATCCTGTGAGAATATTGATATTTCTATCAGATATAATCCAAATGGAAAGATTCCTGATTTTAACCTCATTTATTTTTATTCTCTTATTAATTTCAGGTTTTCTGAGCTTTTCTTCCTGTTGGAATTTAAATGAAAATGTCTGACTCGCTCTGCAGGCTTTGCTCTCTGGCTCAACGCGCCAAGCAGCCAGAAATCGGCTTGAAGACGGGAACCACGAAGCAGGACGAGGCTGCGGGCGTCGAGCTCGACGCAGGAGAGAAGGAATCAGACGACAGAACCTTGACTGGTGCGTTTCTGCTTTTATTTACTGGATCGTAGAACTGGTTTCAGTTTTTACTGGGATTAATTCTTGCAGAATGTGAGATGGAGGTCGCCGCGCCGTCGACTGCAAGGACAAAACCGGAGGACGATTCTGAAGGCCGGAACGCCGCTGATGAAACCCAGCCTGGGAAATCGGACGGTGAGGAGGAGGAAGAACAGGAAGAGGAGGAAGAACAGGAAGAGGAGGAAACAAGGAGAGAAACAGAGGTCTGAAGCGTCGACAAATAGATTTTTTTCAACGCAGCAGTTGGAAAACTGCTTACCGACTGATTCCCTCCTTCTGGAAAACAAATTATGTTCCTTCTCATTAATTATGTATCTATTATTTTATGAATCAGGTTCATTTGTACTACGCATTTCAGCATCATGGCGGTTCTAAGCGACTCACATCATAGAAACATTTCAGGACAGTCATAGATGATGCGAAGTATTTACTCAGTTTGTTTGATTGTGGAAAGAAGGAAGGAGTTTCAGTCATTAACTGGTGAAACACTTTTAAACTCACTGAGAAATCAAACATTTACACAAAAGCTTTTCACAATTTTAATAAATTCTTTATCACCAGAATGAAGCTGGTTTTAATCCAAACCAGCCAGAATTGAGTCAGTGAGGAATTATCTGACAGTTCAGCACATTGTTGCAGCAGGAAGCTGTAATGAAAACAGATGCATATCTGCTGTCCAGCCACTGTGATAATGAAGTCGCTTCCGTTTTTTTCTCCAATTAAAGCCGAACATCCACAAAGCGAAACCTGCAAAATACACAAACCTTCTGGTATTGATTAATAAAGATGGAGAAATTTATAGCAGCAAGTGTTTTTCAGTTGGCAAAACATTTTGAGGATCTTTAGCTACAACAAAAGAACCAAAGACAGTAAGTTTGGTATTGATGTTTCAGTAAGAAATGGGAGTTTGTTTTAACTCAATTGTTCCTTCATTTTCATGAAAATGTTCTAGATATAAATGAAATAATTTTCCTGTAGAAAATTTTATGTTTCACTTATTATAAGTGAACAAGTAATCAATATTAATAATTTATCAAACTAAGTAAGATTAGTGGAATCAACTCACTCTCTCACTCTGTGGTTACCTTGCAACCACCTGTCCAGTAACTGGCGCAGCAGCAGTTTCAGGTTTTTCCACTTGAATAATAATAATAAAAAAAAACAGTGTGGAGTGATAAAACAGCATCAACAGTTTGTCAATATTTAAGATGTTTAAAACTAATCAATAATTATCAATATAGGTTCATGTGAAACACTGATATCGTGATGTTTTTCCGCCATTTTGTTCAGCCCTAATTAATACACAACTCTGAGTTTCCTAGTTGTAACTGCAGCTGCTCTCTCTTGTCTCTTTACCTGTTTCCTCACGTTTTGTTTCCAGTTAATCTATTCAGGAATAAATGTTACTACTGTTGAGATTAACTATGGATTAAATTCTTAAATCTTCTCCAGCATGGAGATTAGTTAGCACTAACTCTGCTGCAGAACCAAACAAATAATAAAATCTCCTGGTTGGTTTATATTTGTTCAGCTGTTGGATAAACAGCAACAGGAAATGAACTCATTCCAGCTGTAAACTACTTCCTGTTCACTTTCATTCCCTCCTATTGATGTTGCAGCCGGTTCCAGCTGAAGGGAGAAGCTGCGTCTCCTACAGTTCTGACGGGACATCTGGACCCGCTCAGGGCGACCCCGACCCGACCCGACGAACCAGAAGCTGTGAGAGTGATGAAGACGAGCAGCAAGGAGGTGATGAAGAGGAGGAGCAGGTTGGTGGTTCCTAAATAGAACTTTAACTCATCCGTCCGTCCATTGAAATTTTTACCACTGCAGAAAATTTGCCATAAATTCACATTGAACTTTTTTACATTTCAAAGTTAAACACTTGGTATAAATCTGAAGAATTAAATTAAAAATCTATAATCTAATATGAAAACCCTGTAAATTTGAGGCATGATTTATTTTATTTTTTTAGTCATGAGCAGCAAAGTTCACCAGAGGCTGAATTATTGAGCAGCTTTTTCTTCGCCTGAACAGTTTTGAAATCCGAGTTTTTCTGTTTTCCTGCAGGAGCTTCAAGCTGCCAGAACCAGAAACTCCCCTGAAGTCACAGAGGAAACTCCAGAACCGATCGATTCTGCTCAAGGAGCCGCAGCCCGCTCCACTGAGGAAGAGGAGGAGGAGGAAGAAGAGGAGGACGCAGCTGCAGAGGTATGAAGGCAAAAACAAACATCTGAGGATCTCTTCAGGTCTGGCGCTGACATGTTGAATCTCCCTGCAGAGACCCGTTCAGGCCGGGTCCGTCTCCGTTGACAACGGCTCCGGAGAGGCTCCGCCCCCTCCAGGTACCACAACAAGGTCACCTGGTTCTGTGATGCACAGCATGTTTCTCAGACCCATCACGGTTCAGCTACATGTTTACAAAACATCAATGATCAAATCTTTAATTTGTAATTGGATTTAGGTCTGGACTTTGACTAGGCCATTCTTAAAACAGTGATATTTTGTCATTTATATAATTTCAGTGTAGCTGTATTTATATGCTTCCACTTTCTGATAAACTCTGACAAGTCCCTGCTGCAGGAAACCATTCCCACAGCATGATGCTGCCGCCACCATGTTTCACTCATCATTCCGAATGTGAACCTGGTGAAGTTAATACTATGGGAGTTTCTGTTACAGTATTTGCAGACAGATTTTTAATTTCAAATACTAAATTTAGATATTTTTGGTTAAATTACTGCTCTGTTGTTCTTTCAGCAAATGCCTTTTTGAGTCTGAGCTCCAGTTTACATTAATCAATTACTAATTTAGACGACAGTTACTTAAATAATGGATTAATCGATTCAGCCTTTTAAACTCATCTTTATGATGCAACACAGATTCCAGCTTTTATTTTGTAAAGATTGATCATCTGGACAAACGGCAGTCTATAAACAATTAGAGAGCGGTTTACTCCAGACAGGGGAGGGAAACATATTTTCCCTTTTCTTTTCTTTGGCTTCACTCCGTCTCCAGCTGGTGAAGCTCAGCAGTTTTATTTTTACGGAAGGAAAATCACAAGAAGACATGAAGCAGGATGTTTTATTTTACCTCTTAGTATTCGCATTTATCACCAAACCGTGAGAGTGACAGAAACAATGCGTAACTTCTCAAAGGAGCCGATCGTTTCTCTGTGTTGGTTGCTTTTAATAATCTCTCAGTCTCATCTGCTGAAAGCTCCTTAATCAGTGTCTTTATGGGGACAAAATGTCCCTAATTTGATGCTCATACAAACTAAATTGTCCACAGTTTGTCTATTTTTACCAGCGTCTCTCCTTTATGGTTCGGTTGAGTTGGGCTCAATTGTCCTTAAATGAGGTCAACAACGTTTAAAAACTTGTCCTTTAAACATTTTTCCATATTCTGATTATAAACTTTGGTCAGAAAGACGTGGTTAATTGTGACGCGAGAGAAAAGTTTGTTCAGTACATTTCAGCAACAAGACAATTCAAAGCCATGAAAACATGAAACAATAAAAACAAAAAGCAATGAAAAGTTATAATCCAGACCAAAACTGCAGATGCTCCAGCTGTTGTTAGTCAAAGGCGAGTCGTTTCTCTAGATCTTGTTGCTGTGTTGCTTTTACCTCAAAATAAAACTCTGTGCTAAAATCGTTCCAAGTTGAAGAAGTCGGAAATAAGTTTTGCCCCCAAAAAACCCTGAAAGTTTGAGATTAATCTAAAAATGTTTTATGAAAAAGAATTAAAAAATGTTTTTTTATCGCAATAGTGATGTTGGCATCCACACTTTGAATGATGAAATTATTGCTGTTTATCCAACACAGTGAAACTTGTTCTCTCCCCGCCTGACGTTACTTCCTGTCCGACAATATGCTATCGCGATACGAGGAGCGGCCATATTGGATCTCAAAGAATTGTGAGAACAGTTGGTGGGATGTTTCGGTTGATTTTTCCAACTCAGAAGACAGAAATCCAGATGTAATTCTGGAAACCATCATGTTTGAGGGAACACGGTGGTTAATAATCTAGAAAATGTGGAATCCATTAGTATTTTAGGGAAGCACTTTTAACTATTTTTACAGTTGCAGGGCTTTTAGTGTCGATCTCCACCAGCTTTGGATGTTTTCACAGCTGACAATTAGTTATGGTTTGATGTGGGACCAAAATTGCAACATTACATTTTCAGCCCCTTTCATTCTTTTCACACAGCAATGTTAAAGGAAATAAACGGTTAGAAAAACCTGTTCCGCTCCTCGCCTGCGGGGGCGCTGCACCAAGAGACAACACAAAAACCTCTGGAGCTGAGGTTGGAGTGCAACTTTCTTCTTCATGAAATGCAAACAAACATGAAAATTTTAGAGGTCAGAGCGTTTCTCTTTTATATTCGATGAATGTACCAAACAAAAAGCTCAGAACGATTTGATTCAACAAAAATATCTCAGGTCACATCGAAGCTTCTGGTTGTGTGGATGAATATTTTTAAAAGTAAATTGTTTTCTGGTGAAGTGGTAGATTTTACAGCCTGGTTCTAAAGGTTGTTTTTTTAAAAATCTTTTTCAGATGCAGATTTGAAAAATTCACCAGAGATGAAAATTGAGGTAACAAAAAGCTGCATTTTTAGCATCTGTTGTTGTTTAAACTCTTTGGTTTTAGAGATCCATGATAATCTCTCTCTGTTTCATCAGTGGACCGAAGACGAAGAGACGAAGCCAGAAGACGAGCCGAAGCCGGAGACACAGGACCAAAACGGTGCTGATCCACCAGCTGAAGGTAACTTAAATATTCTTTATGTACTAATTCAAGCTAAACTGGTAAGATAAAGCCCAAAAACTCCCACAACAATGGTTTTGGTCAACACTGGACCTCCGGTTCTTTGATGGTTCGATTCTAAGCAGCCAAACTTTCTTAAAATCTGAGTTTTCTTTATCAGCAGCTTTTAGGATGTTAGCAGCTTTTTCACACTTATTCTCTTTGTTAAGCTGCTACACTGAATCAGTGTTGGGGCCAGAAAAAGAAAAAAATAATCACGTTATAATATTACAGGAATAAAGTTAAAATTATGTAAGAATGAAGTCGTAATATTTGTAGAATTCTTACTTTTTTTAGCACCCCAACACCAAAAATTTAGAAACTAAAATGAGAAATGCTGAATGTTACATTTTAGCATCAGCCTTAAAAACAAGGAAATATTCAATCTTTTAACAAATCAGCATCAAATTATCAATAAAATTAACAAAAATATTTTGTATAAAAAAGGATTTTTGAAGAAACTGGTCAAGTGAGACCTTAATAATAATGGAAGGTTTTTTTTTCTCATTAAGACAAAATATTTCTTAATGAGAAAAAGTTTATTCTGACAATATGACATTATTCTCAGACCAAACCTCGTGTCCGGGCCTGAAGCTCCATCGTACACAACAGGAAAGTCAGTAAAGAACCAACGGGAGTCTGGTTTAGCATTTATTGTCATGCTATTTTCACATTGGTATTTCAAAACAAGATGGCAACCTAAAGAAAGAAGCTTTACACAATACTTAAAAACAACACAAAAGCTTCATAAATTGAAGGGTCATTAAGATTTTATGGCTCTTTTTGGGATTTATAAGGTTGCTGGTCTGGGAAAAAAGGAGAAAATAAGAGTCTGAACAGTGGCGTAAAAACAAAACTATTTTTTATTTCTGGTGTTTTTCATGTCAAAAATATTCATGAGGCTTTAGAAAGTCGCCAGAACTTGTGAAAACACAACATGAAGTTATTTATAGAAAAATGCCTCCAATAACAAAAGGCTCCTTCCATGTTTTTATTGAAGAAGAAGAAGCTGCAGAAGATGAAGACGACTGCATCATTGTCAAAATCAAGAAGGACAGCAACCAATCAGCCAATCAGGAACCAGCAGTGATCTGTGGAGACTCCATCACTCCCAAGAAAAAGAAGAAGAAGAAGAAGTCCAAAAAAAGTTCTGATGAGATATTTCAGGTGGACATCGCAGAAACACCGACGACTGATGGAGACGTGCTGACCAGCCACACAAAAAAGAAGAAAAAGAAGAGCATAAAGAATAAAGAGGAGGATAAAACGGAGGCGGGGGAAGAGTCTCAAGTCGTTTCACCAAAAAAGAAAAAAAGAAAAGGAAAAGAGAGAGAGAAGAGAGGGAGGAAAAAAAAGAGGAGGCTGCATTTCCTTTAGAAAACACCACAAAGAAGAAGAGAAAACTGATAGACGAGGCTGAGATGAAGGGAATGGATGAAGGGAATCTGGCAGAAACGAAACAGAAGAAGAAGAAAAAAAGGGAGGAGTTGCAGTTTAAAGACTCACCAAAAGAGGACGAGAAAGAGGAGACGAACGCCACAGCCGGTGAGTAGAAACAAGAAGTTAAAATCTTCCTGTTGGTGCAGATAAAGTGAATTTCTGTCTGAAAATGTTTTAGACTCGTCTCTGCTCTCATCTGGAAAGAAGAAGAGGAGACTCCTGATGACAAAGGTGAGCAAGAAAATGATGAGGAGGACGAGGAACGGCCAGAGTACCAACTGGGTCGTCTCAGCAAGAAAAAGGTTTGTTTGTTTTTAAATCTCATAATCTTTCTCTTACCTGAGAAATAAATAAACATGTTTATTCATGATGTTTATTTCCAGACAAAAGCAAAAACAAACTGTGAAGTCGCCAAAGACGCAAATAAACCCAGAAGAAGAAGAAAATTTGTCAAAGGAAAACCAGCTTCTGTGGAAGAAGAAGAAGAAATCGGTCAAGAACATCCTGGAGGCTCCTGAATACCTTTCCACAATCTCTAGAGAACCCAAGAAGAAGAAAGTAAAGATGGGAGAAATATCACCTCCTGCTGCTGTGACCCAACTTCCACCTGCAAAGAAGAGTAAGATTTACTTTACAAGGGTTTAAAAACTTTACTGATTTGTTTTTTAAGCCTTATTTTTTATTTTTTTAATAAAAATGTCCACAGAGAAAGACATGTTGAAGATGAAACCAGAAGCTGCTCCGGAGGTAAGAAATGTTTAATATCTGTGTTTACGTCAGAAAACATTGATAGAAACAGAAAAACTTAGATAACTTTCTAAATTCTGCAAAAAAAAGTTTGTTTTTCTGAAAGAGTTAATGCGCTGAAGAGGAAATGGAAAAAGGTTTGTTGAATTTTCCCATCCAGTGGTTGATCTGTGCCTTACCAGAGGCACAAAACTCCCAAAAATCCAAATTGTTGCCTTGCTAGTTTACAGTCAGGTGTAGCATCAATATCTGGGAAAAACAACAAAACCTGTACTTGATTCTCTCCCAATCAGTAGATGGAAGTGTGTGTAATTTACATTTTGTTTTTTGCAACATTTTAAAAAAATTCACTCAAAATTTTCAAGACAATTGGATGGTTATTGAAGTATCAATGCTTTCACTTCAAATTAGAGCAACATGTTTACTATCACTAACCTTAAAGTGAAGGCATAACTCCGCCCACCTGATCAATCTAGAAACATTCCTTCAGAGTGGGCGGAGCCAAGAGCCACTGAGGGGCGTGGCCAAAACAAAGGAAGCACCGCTGCCAACTTAACAACTTTGGCACCATTTTTATTTACATTCCAGAAATCTCTGGTGACTTTTAATCAAATTAACCAACTGGTGGCAAATCTGGCCACTTATTTTCCGTTGTTTGAGAATTTTATGGTGACATCTCGGTTCATTTTTCGGCTCAAAGCGACTGAAAACATTTTTGTAAAATGGAATCAATACAAAAGGTTACTCAAAAACTATAACTCACTGGAAATATAAATTATAGACATAATATACTTTGTGTGGAAATTTTTTTTGATTTCTCATCAATTTGAAAGGATATTAAATAGATTTCTAAACACAAAAACAGTTTCTGTCAGCTGTCTGCAAATTACAGCACTTCATAATCCTCAAAACAGTTTAGATAAAATGACAGTCAGTTGGTTGTTGAATGTTTTTTTTAAACTGATTATTTATTATCCAATCGATGTAGAATTACAACAGATGCTGCAGACATTTTTATTAGAAAGTGTTTTTATGTTATTTTGAAAGCCAAATAATCCAAAAGTTACAAGAGTAACATATGGATTAGTATTTATGAAAGCCTCCATCTTCTGCTCTTTTTAATTCTGCTGTTGTCACACTTCCAGAAAAAGAAAAAATCCCACAAAAAGCAGAAAATTGAATAATCTTGGTGAGTATCAATCCAGACTCTTAAGCTATTAAAATGGAAGTGAGGATAACTATCCAGTGTTTATCTTTTTCCCCAGACGTCACTGGAAGAGCTTTAATATTTTCAACCATTTTTCTGGTTTCCTCCCTGGATTTTCTCCTCACACCAACAGATGGACCTGAAAACTCAAGATGTGCCTTTTTTCATCCTGGATTTCTCTGATTTCTGGAGTTATTCTCAGACAAACTGGTGATGGGTTTAATATCAATGGTGGGGATTGAAAGAGCTAAAAATAACCAAAAACTTTTGTGTATTTCAGCAATAAAACTACAGTGTAGAAATTAATGAATCTTAGAAACAATTACATGAAAGCTTTAAATGATGTTGAGTAGCTTTGGATATTTTTCACTAACTTTTAACAAGTTAAGAGATAATTTAGCTTCTTTTTTAAGAAGATGAAACTAATGTTGAAAAGGTAAAGGTCATATTTGGATGTTTACAGTAAATGATGATGGCAGTAAAAGGTCAAACATTTTGTATTAATGTTTGATTATCTTTAAGGGATCAAACTGTGAAACTGTTAGGTTTTGATGTGTTGTTCATGGTGTTTCGTCTAATGCTGTGAATTTCTGTTTCATTTTCCTGTTACTGGGGACTTTTTTTCTTCGTTACATAGAGTTTATACTTAATAAACAGACTCCATTAGCAATCCACCACATAAAACCTGTGAACAATAGTTGTCACAATAAACAAATATATTTATGTAATATTGAAAAGTTCAGTTCCGTGATGTTCATAACATTTCTGTAAAATATTTTCAAATTAGAAAATTATAAACACTTTCCCAGTGGAATGTGTTTAAATTTTTCCGAAAGCTGTAGTTCCTGAGGTAAAACAATGTTGACAATCGGATGAATGCCAGTTTACATTTTCCAAATCGTTCATATGACTGGAGATCAAACCAGTGACATCTTGCACTCCTGTAATAAAAGTGTTTTTTTCTTTAAAACTGATTCCTTGTGTGCTGTCTCAAATATAATTCTCTATGTCAGTAATAAATGCACTGGTAGCAAGCAGGTGATGAAGTTATTATGACCACATTGTTCTCATGTGGCTGACAGCCATCTTGGTAGGAATCTGTTACTGTCATCATGTGCTTGCCTACCAAAATGGCGGTTCAGCGGTTCACGTCTGGTTGAAACTTGTGGGAACTAAAATTCTTTAAAATGATTCAGTATTCAATTAAACTTGTCACATTGGATCGTAGCGATGGTAACACAACAATGGCACTGTAAAGATTTAATTGAACTTAGAAAGTAAACTTCGCAATGGCTCATTTAATAGTCACCATTAAATATGTTTTATATGTTAAATATATGTTTTAAACACAACAAAGTCCAACTTGCACAATTATTTTCTACATTTTCACTGCATTTGCATAGAACTAAACTATTTTAAGTGATGTAAAATTCACTCTGTTAATTTTAAATGCAGATTCTACTGTGTTGAACTAAATCATTCTTTAATTATTTAAATTTTTCCCACTAACTTGCTTTGGGTGTTTTAAATGAATCATTTGCTCATTTACGACTATTTACCTTCACAGTCCTGTCCATGGAAAAGATTGGCCATTATCCTTCAACCTGTAACAAATAATAATAATTAACTCTTACATCAATCAATTAAGTTTCACACACAAGCCATTGCTCCATAAAAAATGTTTGAATATTTTCCTAAAACAAGAACAGTAAATGGTAAAAACCCAAATAGCATTCATACAGATAAAGATCTCCAGATCTAAGATAAAATTAGCTAAAATGCTAATGTTAGCTAAATGCTGCAGTAGCATGTGGGCTGTTTAAGCCATAATTTTTCTCAACATAAAATGGTGCTGAAACAATTAATCAGATTAATCACAATGAATTGATTACTGAAACAATTGGCAACTATTTATCTATTAACTGGAATATACAAAAAAACACAAAACAGTAACAGAAGTAATTAAGCCAAAGCTGTAAAAAATAAATTTAAGGAAAATAAAACAACCTTGTTTTTTAAACATGTTCTACCTGAAACTGCTAAAGAGACAATTTTAGAGTTAGCAGGTTTAGGAGGTCTGTTTTAAAAAAATCATCCATTAAGCACCTTTGCTATTAAATTATTACTGGTTAATCTGAAACATAATCACCAGATTATCCCTACTTTATACTGATGTTACATCAAGGAGAAACGGTTTAGATTAGAAATATTTTTTTAGTTTCTTTGCTACAAATGATTGTGTTTTAAATGAAAAATCTGCAGAATGTGGCAGTTGTTTTGTCCAATTAATCAGCAGAAATATCAACAATTAAAATTATCATTACTTACAGCCCTAATATAAAATACTTGTTAGATTTGGATAGAGGTACTAAATTTTAATTTCACAGCCTCAATTAACAGAACACTCCTGAAAATCATCAAAAAGCCTGTAAACATTGAAAACAGACATTTTACTGTCAACGTTGCTTCAGTTTGTGACGAGTTAAAAAGCAGAAAACATTCTGTAAATTAAACGGTCCTCTATGATCTATGACATCTAACATAATTTTCTCTCTTCTTTTGATGCGAAGCGACAATTGTGTGATTACAGGAGGACGGTCTGATGGGACAGAGCGACACGCAGCTGCATCAGCTTTATAATCCGACGTTTTCTACCTTAAACCAGCAGATTTGTTGGAAAAGCTATTTAACACTCGTCCTCCAGGGCTGAGGCTGCTTTTATGGAGAGCTGGAAACTCCTGTTGTAATCTGCAGCTAATGAAAGTGACCGTTTCTAACCCAAAGCAGTGTTGCACAATGAGGCAGTTAATATGAACCGTGGAGCTTTTCTGTGCAAATGAAGCTGTTCTTCAGTAATTTTCTGCTGCAGCTATTATAGATTTCCACCAGTTTGGTGACGGCCGCATTTGCAAGAAAAAAAGCACATTAATGAGGATAAAAGTGGGAACTGAAATAAATTCACTGTTTTTTTTTTCAAACTGAATCAGTCTAATAAAGAAGCATGCATGCTGAATTACTACGCTGGAGGGAGACGGCGTAAAAATTTAAATATTCATCCTTACTATGAGGTACTTATGGGTTAAAAGTATTTCTAGAACACTTTGCTTCTTCAAACATCACGTGTCTATCTCCCTTCTTAAATGGCCTCAAGTCTTATGACAAATTATTAAAGCCATAATATGAAAATAAAGTCATAAGAACAGAATAGACACATTAAAAGAAAAATGTAAAATTAATAGAACAAAAATGTATTTAATAAAAAAATCTAGCAGATCTGACCAAACATGGGAAAGTCCATTTAGTTCTTTCTTTGAAATGATTTCCACAATCATTTCAAAGTCCTGATAATAATTTGATGCCAATATGTAAAAATTAGCATTTTGTTGTTTGTAAAACTGACATAAAAATATAAATTACAACTTTATTCCTGTTACGACTTTATTCCTCTGGTTATTTTTCAATTTGATTTAGATGAATCATTATGACTATTCTCATGTTGCCACTTTATTTTTTGAATATCACTTTAGTCTCATATTATTACGATTCTATTATGGTAATATTATGACTATTGTTGTAATTTCAAAAAACAAAATGATCTCAGTCTTGCCTTAATGACAAACGACTGGACGGAGGAGAAACTGCTTTCCAGACTGTTTTGTTTTTCTAAACTTGTCAAGATGTTCCAGACTGCAGGATGTCTGCCCCAGTTGTCTGTAAACGTCTCATTACGTCAGTTTTGTTCTCTTCAGCCCAATTACAGGCCAGAGAAGGTCGAGGACGGGCCGAAACAGTGACTCTTGTCTGTCTCCATGGTGCAACTGCCTCCACTGATGGCATCAAAACAACGAAGCTTTGCTGACGATTGAAATTAAAGCTTATTTTATACTACTGATAATGAAGAACTTTTGGGTTCTTCATTATAGTTCAGTTTTTGTTGATATAATTCAGTAAGTTGTAATTAGTTTTTGAAGTGTTTGCTATTTTTTACTCGTGTGAATTTACACTCTTGAGTTCCTCCATTTTTTTCTGTACACTTTTCACCAGTTTACTTCTGCATACTTGGTACTTTTTCAACCATTGGAGCATATTCTGCTCATTCAGAACATTACGGCCGTGTGTTTTGGCATTGCCGTCTTCTGCAGTTTATGAAATATTCAGCTTTTTGAGATCATCTTGGGTGCCATTGAAAGAAATGGAACATCTCATCATTTTTGAGTAATTCTGCTGAAAACATTGTACTCTTTCACAGGTAAATATTTAAACTTACTTTCAGTTAAGAACCTCATTCAGTCTTTGAATGTAGGCAGATCCTTCAACTAATTTCAGCCCTGCTTCAAACCCAAACACCAATCCTAATTGCAAGGTTGAAAACTAGGGTGGGGACTAACCCAACCCTCGTTCCAGTTCCAATCCCAGTTCCAACACCAGTTCTAACCCTAGTCCTAATCCCAGTTCCAACAATAGTTCTAATCTTAATTTCATCCCTCATAAAACCTCTCTCCAACCCTATTTCAACCCTAACTCTACCATTGCAACCCTAGTTCCAACCCTCCGTTGTACCTTAATCCCAACTTCACTTCAAACCGAAGTTCCAATCCTCGTTCAAACCCCACTTTCACTATGTTTGGATTTATAAATGCACACATAGTTGTAGTTTTCCTCCTTTATTAATTTCAGTTAATTAATGTTTTCTCAATTTCAGTCCATTATTTTTAGCTAACTAACTAACCCTGGTGGTTTGTCAGTCTGAGCTGACAGGCACTGAAGCGAACTACACCTGTTTCAAAGAACAGAGAACATAAATAAATCACAAAAAGAAAGGAAAAACTTTGTGTAAAACCATACCAAAAATAAGAAATTTAAAGTTTACTTAAATCCCATCAAATCTCAACCAGTCCCTCCTTCTCTTTCAAATCAAAGAGTTTCAGTCTGGCCAGCAGGGGGCAGTGTTTGCCTGCGTGAGCATGGCGCTGCGGCTCTTCTCGGTGATTTGTTTGTCCTGCTGAATGAGTTTGCTGCCTGTCATTAAAGCAGCCATGCAGGGAGGAGCAGTTTGTCTGTCACGGCCCCCATGAGGCTGCTCCGAGTTCAGCGCCCCTCCCCCGGTTCTGCTCCGTCTCTGTTTGCCGCTCTGCCTAAACTACCGGCGTCACGCTGATGGAGTCATCTAGAGCAGCTTGTAATATCTACAACTTCTTCATCATTACGATGGAGCGTCGCGCTGCAGTCACAGCAATAAAACAGAGGCAGAGCTGGAGCTGTTCATTTATAAAGAAAAGGCCAAGTCAGGGGTGTTCAAGCTGTGGCCCGGGGGCCAAGAGTGGCCCTTCGAATGATACAACTTTGACCCGTCCAGCACAAGCAGTTGATGCAGATGGATGCTTTTAATTTCAGCAGTAATGAGGTTTAAATTATTTTTGAGATTATTTTATTACAACTGAAAATGTTAAGACTAGAGTTTGGTAGTAACTAGTTACATTTACTTGAGTAACTTTTTGTAAAAATTTACTTTTTGGAGCATTTCAACGCTGCATTTTACATTTTATTATGATGTATCTCTACTCTTTCTTTAGTACAATTTCTATATTTTCTACCCACTGAATGAAAAACAAACATGTCTTAACCAGAAATTCAGACACACCTGCAATTTTTGTTAAGGTTTCAAAAGTTTTTTATTTAAAAAAAAAACTAATTTGGAAACATTTTTCTTTGCCTCATTTAGTTATTTTTTGTTACTTATAGATTAGTCATTTTAAATTTCCACTTAATTTTATATTTTGTTCCGTCTGATGATGCAATTCTTAAATATTAAATGATTGATGATCAGCTACTCAGTACTTTTTACCAAGTACTTCTTTTTTTTCTTGAGTCATTTCTTGGACAGCTAATTTTATTTTTACTTGGGTAAAAATGTTTTAGTAGTGCTACTCTTGTGTAATTAGTATACAAGTATATGTTATGTTGTAGTTAACGATTAAACAATTACAAAATTAGCTGACAATTATTGCAATGATCATTATTGCAATGATTGCATGACTAATTGATTAATGCAATGATCGATTAATCGCGACTAATTGATTATTGCAATGATCGATTAATCGCGACTAATCGATTATTGCAATGATTGATTAATCGCGACTAATCTTTTCGGAACTTGTTTTAATCTCTGTTTCTACACTTCAACTCTTTTTCGGAAAAGCCCCCCCAAAAAATATTAAAATTTTTTTGGGGAAAATTGAGGAACTTATTTCTAATTCTGCCTTTTCCATCAAACCTTTTTTAATGTGATATATCAAAAACCTGGCTGAAGATCACAGCTTCACACGGCTCTGACGAGGTTTCCTGTCGGTCTCTGTGTGTCCCTGCAGCATGAATTTGCTGTGCAGTCGGTATGAAGCGCATCAACACGCAGCATTCCCTGAGCCCGCCACAGATTGCTCTCGATGCTTTGGGAATGCGTTTTACCGTCTCATGCATACGCCTTCAGCTTACACTGTCGTTGTGTTATTCTTTTATCAGAATCCTCCAGCTCCTCACATCCCATTTATAGGATATGTGGCTCACTGACAGCCCAGTCCGTAATAAACCCGTTTATTTCCCTTCCTTCCCTATGAATAATCCCGGTGGAAACGCGCTCCTCTGTGCTGATCCGACGGTCTGCGCCGCCGCCATAATGGGCCTTTCTTTAAAGGACAAGATGAGATGGGGGAGCGACACTGCCGCTGCTAGCTAATCAAGCTGTCAGTCTTTTTGTATGTTTGCATTGTCATTGTTCTGCAGAGACTCAAATCAATTTTACAACGATCGCAACAGGACTGTAAAAGTAGCAGCCCGAGATTGTCTTGTGCCAGGAATCGTCCAAGAAGAAAAGAAAAGTCATCAATGAGACGTTTCCTGTCCCGTCCACTGGGAACGCCAGACGAAACGAACTCATCAGGACGACACAGTTTGGTCTTTAAAGACAGAAATATTTATCATGAAACAGGACTTCATCCAGTCATCCACTGTTAAAGTTTTGAACCCGGATATTTAAATCAGAAGCCGATAAATGTCAAGATTTTACTCCCTTAAGGTGATTTAAACCGATTTGTAAATGGAAACTGTTTAAATTTAATGAAAGAAATTAATACTTGACATCAGGAATAAAGGTAAAGATATTGTCAGTGGCGACCCAAAATGGTGGGTCCGGGGGGACCACGACCCCCTCTTGAAAAATATTAACTACACTATAACACCATGATCATAGAGAAGTCGGGACAAGGAAGCTGGTCATAGTCGATGAAAAAATGGAGGAAACCAGTTTGAGACTGGTGTGGAGGTTCACCTTGCAGCAAACACAACTGTATAGTTAGAATGGCATAGTCAAAGTCCAGAACTAAATCCAACTGAGAATATGTACCAAAGTTTGTAAACTTATGTTTACAGATGTCCTACATCAAACCTGATCAAACTTGAACAGTTTTGCGAAGACAAATGGATAAAATGTAAAGTGTGTAAAACTGCAATAGCAGCAAAATGCAAAAATAAAAATATTGGCTTATTGATTGATTAGTAATTATAAAATATGTAAAAACAGAAAGTTTTCCTAATCGCAGATTAGTAATTTTCCTTTACCCAGTCGTTTGTTCATCTTAGTGCTCTACTGAAAGCTCCTGACTTACATGTAATTTATTCATCTCTGTCAGGAAAAATATAAAAAGTCAAAGGAATAAATTTCCTCTTAAATGATACAAGTTCTTAGAGACAGTTCCTGAAACAAAACCAGCCAATGTGGATGACAGTTTTCATGAAGTATTTCATTCTACAGAAATAAAGCTGTACAAATAATATTTTCCAACTGAAAACATCTGAATCTTGCCGTTTTAACTCAGATACCTGCTTCCTGCTAGAGAGCAGCTCTAAAGCAACATGCAGTTTATCTGCATCATTTAACAAAACAATGAGGGCTCACTGAGCGTCGCCGTTTCCTGTTGTTCTACTTCATTACCGGTTCACAGAGTAAAACAACGATTTCTATTGAGGCTTTAATTTAAAACAAGTCAAATTTCCCACTTCTAATTCATGTGATATGAGCAATTTGCTTGACACATTTCAATTTAGAAAAACCTGTTTCCAGTTCGAACTTGTAGTGAACCTATTGAATTATTGAAGCGATCAGAAGTTTGCTGGGTTGGTTGGCGCCAAACATCACAAAATAGCCGCAGGAAAAACAAGTTACCGAAGAAAACATTGAGCAACACCGACGAAGACGCTTGTTTAATACAACAAAAAGAAACAGAAATGGCGAGTTTGAAATTTAACTCACCAACAACGGTGCTGCAGGAATTTCATTCCTCACAGCTCTGCAAAAAATAAGCAAACCTATCAGCTGTAAAGCAGAGAAACTTAATACTTTGTTAACAGTGAAAACTGTCAAGAAGAAAGTAACTGAGAATTTTTTTAATGTAAAACTTTTATCAGCACAACTAACACAACATTTGAATCATTCACAGAAGCCTGATCTGCATAGAAAAGATGAGTAGGCCTGTCACAATAACAAATGTAGAATTTAATCATCAAAGTGCAGAAAAAGAGCTTAACTTGTTGTATTATGGTTATAATAAGAAAACCTTAGCATAAATAACTGGTTTCAACTGTTTTCATTTTGCTGTCAGACTGTTTAGATGCAGTGAGAACTTTATTTCTCCTGACTATTAAGGAGATCTTTCATTGTGCTAATATAAAATCAACAGTAGTAACAGGTCAAATGACCCAATTTTTTTAGGTCAAATAACCCAAATTCCCATAATCACAATACTGAAAGTCAAATCTAAAAATCTTAATATTTACTCGTTTTGGTTTAAAAAGAAAAAAACATGACAGACATTTAACAAATTATATTTCTATGATACACAGAAAACTGCAAAGATTATGTTTTAAACTGTATGTTTAAACTCCCTTTATACACTTTACGGCCAACCGGACGATTAAAATATAAAACGAATATTAAACAAACATTTTTTATTATACATTTTAACTTTATCTCACGCTAAAAGTTCTTGCTGAGCAGAACTTCAGTACATCTTCCTCCATTAGCTTCGGCCTTCATGTTAGCTTGTTAATTAGCTGCGTCAGTTTGTTAGCAGGAACTAATCCCTGTTGCTAACGTCCGTTACGTCTGTTAGCTCAGCAAACACTTCTTATTTTGCTCGGGCAAAGAAATTTTCACACAATTTAACACGATCGAAAGTATCGGAGTGGGTGGGTTTCACTTACCGTGGCTGTGGAAGATTATAGCTAACTGCTAGCTGCTAACAGTTCAGTGGGAGATGAGGACGGAAGCTCCGCCATGACAGCGATTTAAAACTTCCTGCTTAAGACAAAAGTGAAAAAAAAAACCACTCATTTATCTTCTTCTTTATCTTTTAATAAATTTACACTGTCTTAATCATTTTTTGTTCTTACTTCTTTACTTCTTTTACTTTGAACAATGATGTAATGCATTGTTCTTCAAAAAAATTGTTAAAAACCTCCGAATACATAAATAAATAAAAGATTAAAGGCAAAAGAAAAAAACATGTGCTTCAGAAATAAAATTAAAAAAATTGTATCATAATAATAATAAATAGATAAAATTAATAATAATAATAATAATAATAATAATAATAATAATAATAATAATAATAATAATAATAATAATAATAATGAAGATTTGGGAATAATTCAAATAGTCATTCATCATTCATTCAGCCTTTAGATAACTTGTCTGTTATCTAAATGCTGAATTTCCTAATTTAAAATGCAATTACTTTTGTTGGGAGCAGCTGTCATATAACTAAATCTATGTTTTGCTAATTGTTAGGTTGATCTATCCTTAACAATTATGCTGTGATTTGTTTTAATCCAGTGGGTTTGTTGTCAATACAATACAGTAACAATACAAATCAGTAACAACTCTCTATTTTAGAGGTCAAAACACACTGACTCCATACTTCCTCCACCATTTCTTTTCTCCTGAACCAGTTGGAGCTCCATATCTTACTATCCACAGTCAATCGCCCACATTTGCAGTTTTGCTACCCAGCTGTCTGGTCACTGCCTTACACTTCAGGCAGCAAAACTAATTATTGTTTGACAGTTTGCTGCAGAGTGCCTTGAAAACATTTCAAACTCTGTTTTGATTTTCCTCAGCCACAGCGCTGTCTCACTCATTGACCCGTGATTCTGCAGGTCAGATGGAGGGGATTCGCTGCAGGGGTTCCTCCACTTTGATGCGATTCTCTGGTCTCCCTACTGTCCAGATCAGATAGTGTTTGTCCTTGTTTGAGTTGTTTGGAGTCATCACCCCTGACGGCAACTTTGCATCTTCTAACTTCAAATTTCACACACCCCATGAATCCCCGAGAGGATGTTCAAAACACGACAAAGTTTCCAGCAGCATATCTGTGACCGGGCCAAAGTGACCCTGGTGAGGCAGTTAATTTTCTTCACCAGGGTGAGGCTGTTTCATTTGCTTTGGAAATCAGTTTTATTGTTCCCCGGTGGGACATTCAGCTCTGTGGCATTTGAAAAACACAAATTTTTGCAAGTGGATCCCATGAGGCAAACACACCACAGCACAACTGAGGACATGGTCACTATATGTAACACTTGATGGTGTTTGGAAAAGACTGTAAAATTAGCAAAGAAATGCCTTGTAGTTTCTCAAATCAGCTTTGATTCTGTTGGGAAAATAAGATTATGAGTCCAGCTTTCTCCACCATGTGTGTACGTGAATAAACTTATTTTTATTCATACAAAACAGGAATATTTCCAACCTTTTATTCACACAAACTAACCAGCATCGCAAAAATAATCAAAGTTATAAACAACACGTTGCTGATGACCAGAGTTACCTAGATAAGATCAGGTTCAGATGGGAAACACACACATTCCTCTCTCCTGCTGATTCAAGATCTCCAAACATTCCCATGTCAAAAGAAATATCTCTTACCTTCAGCAAGTCCTGTTTTTGCCTCAGGCTCAGTGAGGCATGACTGGAAAACCTCCTGAGGGACAGAGGAGGTATAGGGAGATAAGGCGGAGGTCAGCCATCTTTGAAAGGCTCAAGCTGAAAAAGAAAAAGCTTATTTAAGCAGTTGGTAAGAAGAAAATTGTTATGGTCATAACATGCTATTATGACCATATGAAAAGAAGAAGGAATGTTCACTTTAAAAAAAAAATCAGAGCAATATATTATTATTATATCATTTCCCATTTTTCCCTGATACATCGTATTTAGCATTTATGAAATATTTTACAAATGTAAAATATTTTTTTGGCCACTGGAGGTCAGTCTGACCCCACATCCCACAACGTTCCCCGAAACATTCCCCCATCAGGATTTTTTTTTCTTTGTAATTTTTTTTTTTTTTTTGTGGCGCTACTTTGGAAATATTTGCAAGGAATTAGATTTGACACGCAAACATTTTTATTCTTTAAAAACTTAATTTATCTCAATTTTTGTTATTTACCATAATGATCACAGATTACAACTTGGCATCAAGTAAAGCTGGCTCAGCAGAGGAACAGAAGAAATACTGCCCCCTGCAGGTAGGAGCTAGTAGTCACTTAGATTCAAAGTTTTTGACTATTTTTGCAGAAAATATACAATAGTCTATTAATTTTACTTTAGCTTGAAGTGTTAGGATCTGTTCATTTAGCATGCCGTCTATTCCTGCTTATCGTTGCAGCATCACTGCTGTTAACGCCAAGCAAAAATTAATGCTAACAGCACATTTTTGTCATAAATGCTACAAACAAAACAAAACAACATCAGCATGTTAATTATGCCTCTGAAATCGTTTGCATACTTCAGCCAGTGATATTTTTTTGATTGCCTGAGGAAAGAATCAAGTCATCCTGGTGTGAATGGAAAAATGCAGAACATGTTCAGTAAATGTAGAATAAATCTACACTATAAAGGGCTCCTGTGACAGTTTATTTATTAATCACTAACATTCTGTTGAGCTGTGCAACAAGAAAACATATTGTGTTTTGTTACTGCATTAAACAAAGAGATGATATTAAAACCACTTCAATAGCTAAAAAGCAATTTTCTCTTTTTTAATTTAACGTAATTTGATACAAATATGTAAGCAGCTCTGTAAAAATACAGCAGAGCTTTAGGCTGAAACATGCTGTACACCTTTGCTTCTTCTCAGTAAACCTTGTTTACTGAGAAGTAATTCTGGTTTTACATAGAGTAAAACCAGAATCTCTGGTGTTTTTATCCAGTGGAAACACTGAAGATCAACAATGCTGGTAGGATCCAACTTCTGGGGCAAAGTTCTTATAAAGTTTCCAGAGGGCAATAAAAAACAAACCTTCAATCTGCTGCTATAACAGCCTCAATTCTTCTGGGTTCAGTTTTTCCACCTGATTTTAAAGCTGGAATCAACAAGAACAGCAATGAGGTCAGCCTCTTTTGTCGGATGAGAGGGTTTCTTGTTTCAGTCCGTCCCAAAGGCGTCGAGCAACACAACTGGAAGATAATTTATTTTGCGTTGCAGTGGTGGGACATGAAAAAGCTTTAGGAGGTGATATCAGGGAGCAGAGAGTGGAAAGGACACATCGGCACATCAGAATTCAGCTCAGGTCAAAGAGAAATATTCAGCCTTTCAGCATCTCCATGGACCTAACAGGGAAGTGGAGAGAATTGTAGCAGCAGCAACGTCACAAGGGAATCTAGCCTTTGAGGCGGAAAAGAGAAAAAAAAGATGGATGAAGATCCGATGGGAAGCTAACACAGAGAAGTCAAACATGTTGCCCATCCTCACCATGACAGCTTCCTGCTTTTCGGGGAATTTTCCTTCCTCTATTTACTTCCTTAAGCCATCTCCACATGGGTTTTTGTTCTTATTTTTTAACCGTATATTCATGAAATGCAGGTAAAATCAGTGATGTTTATACATAAAATATGGGAGTCAAGGTAGGGGGATTGTCAGAGTACAGTGGACTCAACTATTTTTTTTTTCTGTGGAAGATTACGCCACAGAAATCCACAGATCTGTCTATTTGTGGATTTTTTAGTAGAGGATATTTGAAAGACAAGATTAGGTGTATCTGCAAAGATATTTTGTCTTTTAAGGCTCACATCTATGTACAAACAGTACATAGATGTACTGTTTGTATTATGTACAGAAACAGTACAGTGCTGGTGGACAGGTACAGGAAAACCAACCAAAATGATGATGTGTTGGGCATAACTCATAAGTAGAATTACTTTTGGGTGGGAACCCCAATCCCAATGGAGGAAAGGTACAGAACTGTACCTGTACAGTACTGTGTGCGTATTCTGAGACTACACATAAACACTGTTGGCAGACGGTCGAGATTTCAAAGTCAGTCAATCATACCAACTGCAAATATTTCTCAAAACAAATTCCTTTAATTCCCACAATCCAAAAGGTTGCTAGCATGTTTGAGGAGCTAGTTTAACACCTAGTATGGAGAGATCAAACAGCCAAACAACCTGGACACCACTGAGTGGATATGACATAACCAGGAAGTCCAACCAAACTGATGATGTGTTAGGCATAACTCTTAGAAGTACTTTGGGTTGGAACCCCAATCATAATAGAGGAATTTTTATAGTTTCCAGTGTTGACCTCATCCAAAGCTGTGTGATGTGACTTGATGTATGGATCAAATTTCATGAACAGAGATTGTTTGCTTGGTGTCATTGAAGACTTTATCCAAAAGTCTTCACCTGTACTCACTTGGTCAGTGTATTCCTTGAGTGCGTATGATCCTGAAGGTTATTGGATCTTCTGGTACATCATGGAGGCTTCTTCTCTAGAGCTCTTGAAGACTCAAGACTAAGATCGATCATTTCCCCTCTACATACTTTTTGTTGCCTGAAAATCCTCATAAACCTGCATGGATGTATGATACAAGGTTCTATATTTCTATATTTTCTAATCTCGTCCACCAGCTATCCAAAATTTAAACAAGTGCAAACCAGGATGGCCAAGTGTTCAAGGTGTTGGACTTAAGATCCAATGGGTTTAATCCTTCGTGGGTTTGAACACCCACCACTGGTAGAGTCTTCATAGGCAAACTATATCTTAATCTGGCAGTGAAGGCTTAGATGCTCAGCTTCTACAATGCACCATTGTTTATACACCCAAGTATGATGTGTATGTCTCATCCTTGCCCAAAAGCTGGGCTTTCCCTTTCCTCATTAGGACTTTAGATATTTTCTAATCACTTCTGTCAGATGCTCTAAGAAATTTTACCATAATTGACCCACAAATAGCCGATTCAGCCGTCTAAGAACACGTATAAGAACAGTTCAACGTGAGTTTGAGCCAGAACAGGAACCAGGATGGCCAAGTGGTTACGGCGTTGGATTTAAGATCCAACAAGCAAAATCTCCTGTGGGTTCAAATCCCACTCCTGATAGAGTTAGCTTGTTTGTCTTTCAGGGCAGGAAAAAACATTGTTTAACTACAAGAAAGACTGATTTTTAGATTCAACTTAACATTCATTCCATTTGTAGGTTTCTGCAATTAGTAACACCTTCTAGTGTTTTTGCCTTGAGAACAATTGTTACTCTTTGTTGTATTGTAGTTTTGAGTTGAAATCTTGACAAACGGGGTTGAACATCTTCACACTTTAGTTGTGTTTCTTAAGAGTTATAAAATATCACCAACTCATCAAGAGTCAAAGAGAGATTTAGATCTGGCATTCAACACCCTGAAGAAAAACATTTCATTAATCAACTGAAAGTCAGAAAAACTCTTTTATTCTTTGTCTTTGAGAAAACTGTGTCTACAGAACTGAGAATTGTCTTTCCCAGCTTAGAGATGTCTAGTGAAAGACTAAGGAGAAAAAAAAGGGAGAAATAAAAGTTTCAGTGCAAGATTTCCCCAAAATACTGAGTTTGTTTTGGGTTGGAACAACAAACCCTTTAAGTTTCTGATTGGTGAACTTTGACCTTTCAGGTGAACTGATGTCAGAGGGTTTCAAAAGTCAGACAGGATAAGGACAAAATATATGGAGCTAAATTGGGGTCATAAAGTTCTGTTCGAAACAAAGAAATTTGTTTTTCAGTTTCAAATTCTTTTTTGTCCTTTTCAATTTTTGTGTAAAAATATATTTAAGCCACAAAGGCCGACACGAGGACATGAACATTCAGGACAATTTTGTTGACATAAACATTTTGTGCAATTATATGGTCAATGGAAACACAGCTACTGTTCCAGCAGTTTTGCAGTTTTCTAGAAGTTTCTTCCAAATTATTGGTGCTTATTAACCACATTAAAGTACCAAATGTAAATAAAGACAAAGGAATACAAAAATAGTTTTGGATTTTTAAAAAATCCTGTACCGAAACAAAAATTAGTCTGATTTAAGTGTAATTTTTACCCACTTTTTGTTGAGTAAAATTTAGTATTTCCCAGTTAAAACAAAGCTCCGCCTAAATCATGAAGATGTAAGGACTCATATTTGTCTCCTACAGAGGTGGAGAGCTCCGTATAAAATAAATAAACACAAATAAGGTTTATTTGTGTTTTCAAGGTTTTCAGGCACCCAGGTGTGTATTTTAGGTTTCCTTTTCTTCTGCCAGCAAGGTGAAGGCTTACAAAGAGAAAACGGGCCGATGCAGCTTCAGTCACTCTGAGGTCTGTTCATTCATCTGCCTGCTGATAGAAACATCTCAGCTCTGACTGAAGGCCTGCTATCAGCAACCTGCAGCAGCCTGAGGAGGAAAATAAGTGAAGCGGAGTCGCCCCATCTGTAGCTCAGGTTTCTATTTTAGGTTAGGATAGATCTATGGCCTAAACAAAACATTCATAACCTTTTCTGCACAATATTATTCATAGATAATGAAATTTTAGCTGCTGCTGGCTGGACCCAACATTTCCCAACTCAGCGTTTATGCTCACAAGTAAAAATGGCTGCAAACAGACGCATAATTATACAACCAGATTTTGGAAAAGCAGAAGTGGAGTCTCCTGCACAACCATCAAGAACTCAACGAGTGGTTGAGTTCTTGTCTTTCCCACTTGTCTTTTCCAGTAGGATTAGATAGTGGTGAAGCAAACTGACCAAACATGCTGGAGCTCCTCCGCGGTTGCTAGGTTACGGGCAGAACTCCTCTGGGGTTGCTAGGAAACGGCTCATTTTCCAGACACCAAAAACATCAACAGATTGTCAAAAAATAGCTGTACACGTTTTCTTTTTTAATTCTTCTTTTTCAACCTGTGGTTTTTTTAGGAGTAAGAACCAAATGGAAGCACAAAAATGTGCAAAGTAGGAATTTTGTACAATAAGGTCCCTGTTAATCACATTTATTGCTTTTTCAAATCAGACACTATCAATAAAATTGCTTTTTTTTTTTTGACAAAGCATAGGTATCAAAAACCCTTCAATGTAAAAAAACCCCCTGATTTTTACAAAATAAGGACAATAAAATGAAAATCTGAATCATAGTTCAGGAATTAGAAAAGTGCATATAATGTATTGTAAAACAAAAAAATTTTTTGGGTGATATTCTTACTGATCCATATCAAACAAAAAGTGTTTTTTTAGTCCAATATTCATAAGCTAAAATATTAATTTGGCCTCCAAGCAACTGAATCTTTCAGAGATTCTCTTTGGTTCTTTCTGAAACTTTTGCAGAATAATTTGATAAAAACAGATCAGAGTTCAACATAAATTATGAGCTTTTTATTTTTTTCTGTGGTTTCACAGCAGCGAAGCTGAAATTATTATCACTGTAAATGTTTTGCTTCAGGTCTTCAGTCTTAGTATAGATGTGTGAACATTATTCTGCTTATTTAAAGACAGTCTGCGGTTGTTGTGTGTGAAAGAAAGATAGAAAAGCACAAAAGAATGAGAACTCAGTTATTCAAGAAATGCATACAATTACAGTAAATATTAAAAAAACATCTAATTCACATGTTCTGATCCCAACTGCAAGCTGAAATTTAGTCGCTGAAGTTCAACAGCTGAGCTAAATATTCACAGAACTGAATTAGTGAGCAGGTGTGAAGAGGGGTCCATCTTTTCCACCCTGTTACTGAGTTACGTTGTGCATGACAGAGTACAGCAGCAATAAGGTGAAATAAAATGGATGAATTTGAATTAAAAATCTGAATTTAAAAGCTTACCGCTTCATTAAGCCTGTTTGTTGCCAACTCTAGATTTCCGTGTGTTTCTGCGGCGCAAAGGAGCGAAATCGGTTCATGACCTGGCTGGGAGAAAGTCTTTGAACCGGTCTCTCTTTTTTTCTCTCTCAGGCTTTAAAAGCAGGTGATCTCCTCTGCTGAGAGCAGAGGACAGTCAACGACTCATTCTGACATTTTTATCAGCCACTGCAGAGCTTTTCCTCTCAGCCAGCAAACCCACCACTGTCCGGTACATGCAGACACGCCCTGACCTGCAGTTTAGCACCATACATATTATTATGTATGCATATTATTCAGAGCTGCAGAGGAGTTTCTGTTCTGTTCAGATATTTGGATCCCCAGGAACTTAAGTTGGCAAATAATGACAATTTTTAAATGACAACTTTTTTCAAACATTTTACAATAAGAACCTAAAATATGCACAATACTGCAAAATGTATTCAGTAACCAACTCATAAATTTAATTTATTTTAATAAAGTCCAGAGTAAATATTTGCCTCCAAACTAGTTAGAAGGCTAAAAAAAGATAACTATTTATTTTGAGGCAAATATTGGAATTTTTAGCTTCAAATTGAATATTTAGCACTTACATTTGTTTTTTCTGCATTTTGAACATGTCGTTTCTTATGCGATTTAGTTCAACATCTACAAGTGGCACAAATTGGATATTTGGGGATTGAAAACTAAATGAAGTGGGTCACTCAAACTGCTGTGAAAGTCATATTTGGGTCGCAACATGGAAAGCAAACAAACAGGATGTGGTTGTATTTACCTGCTGTAATGGCAACAGCAGATGAACAATTAGTGAATCAGTGATTATATTAAACCACAGATTTAACATAATCTCAAAATAAATAGGCAGAGAATGTTCCATGTTTATTTTTCACTATTTCAGTGCATTTCAGCAAAAATAATGCCAGATTTATTTACAAATATTCCTTAAATAAATGAAGCGTTGCCGTGCATCCTGCCGCACTCAGTGTCTTTATCCACAGTCATCACTGCGATGAAAGGCAATCAATCCGGGACTTTTTCCAAGTGAGGTGCTTTTATTATTTCAATTTCCCAGGAGCTTCGCTTCCTCCCAGCTCCGTCCCTGTTCGGTCATTCCTGCCTGAATTGTGATTCCTTCTCATTTCTCTGCAGCAAAAACAAAAAGGCTGAACAAATGAGTCTGCACCTCCATTTGCTCTTTGTCGACAATGCTCTCACAACGCCAGCCGGTTTTACTTATTCTCTTACTATATCATTTACTTTTATATCCCAGCTTCATGTGAAAACAACACAAGGCGACATAAATCACGAGTTTGAACACTTCTCATTCATGCTGAGGTTTGTGTTGCCGACTTTTCCCAGAAGGCCGTTCGGCTCGCAGCCTGTTATCGCGTCGAGCCGCTGACCACCCACGGCTCCGCCCGCATGCCTCAGCGGGGCCCCAGAGGCTCATGGGTAATCTGTCTTCCACCTTCTGCAAGTCGTCCCGTCTCATCACTCGCCAAGAACACAAATCCACTCCCACTCGGCCCTAATTAGCTGTTCAGCGCACAATCAAGGCCGCAGTTGCTGCAAAGGCAGGTCTGGAAAACAGGACCGGAGCTGAAATGAAGTTTCCAACCAGCCGTTGTTTTGTTGACACGCCATTTTCAATAATCTCTCAGAAATCAGCGTTTTTCTTCAATCTACATCAAATTTCCAGACAGAATGCAATCAGCGCTTCCTCATCTCCAGAGAGAGAAAATGGATGAGAGCAGATCTGCATTAATTCTCACCGACATGTCAGCGCAGAACGCAGTGATTAAGAGTGACGCCGCGGTTTGTTTCTGGAAAACGCTTTGAGAAGCTGAATTTAAGAGGAGCAACGACTACAGATGGCAGCAATTCATTTATTATCAACTGCTCTGAAAATCTCTCAGAAGGTCATCAGGTAAAATGTTTGAGGCAAACGAACAGGGAAATGATCAGGATTGGAGAAATCAGTATAATTTGAAAAACACCATGGGGCAAAAAAACCAAAACTCCCTCTCAACAGGAGGCTCCGCTTTTAGCATGACAGCAAGTTACAAAAGGTGCTAAATTATATGAAAACTGTGTCAAAAGTCACATTTTGTCACTTTAAATCGGACAGAATTGTGTAAAATGTACTTTTTTGAACTACACATTATTAAATATATTATCAAAAACATACCTGCAGTGTTGCTTTGATTCCTTCATTTGAGAAATGCTTTAATATCCATGGCAACCAGTTCAAAACGCCTGGGTGGACCTAGCTCCGCCTTCGAGGACGAAGCTCCTCCCCCACCCTGCAGCAATTAGTAAAGGCCTGTAGCAAAGAAACTGTTCATCTGCTCAGCTCATTAAACTTCTCAGTTGTTAAAGAGGAGCCATGTTGTTAAAGAGTAGCCATGTTGTTAAAGAGGAGCCATGTTGTTAAAGAGTAGCCATGTTGTTAAAGAGTAGCCATGTTGTTAAAGAGGAGCCATGTTGTTAAAGAGGAGCCATGTTGTTAAAGAGGAGCCATGTTGTTAAAGAGGAGCCATGTTGTTAAAGAGGAGCCATGTTGTTAAAGAGGAGCCATGTTGTTAAAGAGGAGCCATGTTGTTAAAGAGGAGCCATGTTGTTAAAGAGTAGCCATGTTGTTAAAGAGGAGCCATGTTGTTAAAGAGTAGCCATGTTGTTAAAGAGTAGCCATGTTGTTAAAGAGTAGCCATGTTGTTAAAGAGGAGCCATGTTGTTAAAGAGGAGCCATGTTGTTAAAGAGGAGCCATGTTGTGATGACGTCCTGAAGGCGGAGCTTCAGAAAGAGTTTTAAAGAGACAGAGGCCCAATTTTAAGACATTCAATCACAAGGTCAGATTTATTTATGTTTGACATAAATAGCATTTTTAACAACTGAGGGTAACATAGTTACTTGTGGTATAAATGAGTGCCTGTAGAACCCATAATACTGCACCTTTAAGGCGTAAATTCCTGAGTTTAAAAAGCTAAATATAGCGACAAAGCTTTGACTGCTTCATGATATAAAAAAAATCCGGTTCACAGGAGACACTGCCTCAGATAGAAATCAGTTCACTGAATGCGGTCGCCCACCCAGAAAAGACTTCACATCGGCTTTTACATCAATTCCTCTCCTGGAAAATAAAAAGAGAAATGTTGTTTTTGAAAGCTGCAGCATGTGAAGAATCTGATTCTGATCAGATTCTTTCCAAGATAGAAAATTCATGAAGAAACACTTCAACAAAAAAAAGCCCTAAAACCCTGATGAAAAGGATTTGCACTCTTCTATACAAACCAGCATTTGCAAGATAGTATCCTCTTCAACAACTCCCTTTGTAGAAAACAAATGAAAATATTCCTCCACTTCTGATATTGCAGACACTTTTCTGCTGTGGAGGCTCTGAGGAGCGATGAGGAGCTCCAGAATGTCAGGGCCGATTCTCAACAATCGGAAGGAGAAGGATGCAGCGCGGCCGGACGGGTTGCCGCGCGGCCGGGGACGGGTTGCCGCGCGGCCGGACGGGTTGCCGTGCGGCCGGACGGGTTGCCGTGCGGCCGGACGCTCGGCAGAGACGTGACTGAACATGAGAAGCAGTAAAATGGAGTTGCTACTTTTCTGCTCAAGGCTGCCAGAGATCAAAGATTAGCTGGGAAAGTTGGTTATTTACCGTTAAGAATTTCTCATGTTCATGCTCTTATTCTGAAGGGCAGCTCCATTTCCTCTCTTCCTGTTCTTTTTTTTTAAATTACCTAAACACTTTATTCCAATCAACAGACACCTGAAAAAAGTAAAGAACGGACAAAATATAAATATGAATACAATAAGTTAAATTGAAGTTTGCGCTTTAGCATTAGCTTGTGCTAAATATTGGGTTAGTGTAGCACATTAGCATTAGCAGAACTAATGTTTATGATAAGGGCTTTAGACTTACCAAATCTAACTTTAGTGAGGACATGTCTTGATCCAAAGAACCAAATAAACTGGACATTAAAAATACTAAATATTGGTTGTTTAGTTAACTTAACTCGCTTAAACTTAATCCTTTACAGAGAAACTATTTCCATGTGGAACATGGAGACTCAGAGTTGTTGGAGCAACGGATGAAGAAAGCTGCTGGATTTGGTTCAAAAAGAAGAGCTGTGTTTGAAATCCAAGGTTGTTTTGAACTTGAAGCACCGTGTTTCTCTCACCTGACAGAAGCTGCTTGTCTGAACAAAGAAAAACTCGCTTTGTTGCGAATCTGACGGCTACATACTGCAAAGAACACAAACAAATGAAAATAAGCCAACAAATGTGGAGATTTTGCAAAGTTCAAGCCAAAAGTAAAAAATAAAAGCAGAGCATTGTCTTTTATCTTGGGTCTGACAGTTCTGACATTATAATCAGAATCCTGCAGAATGCTGAGTGCAGGTTTCCTCCTGACACACTCCTTCCTCCCAGAGCAACTCCATCCAGACAGGAAATAACCGCAGGAAGCCTGAAGTCGTTTCATGTGTTGCTTGATTGTGAATTTATACGATAAAGATAAAGCTGTCATTCCTGCACCACAGGGGAGAAATACCCCGAGGTGGCAAATCTGGAGTTTTTATGCCTGTGTTGAGCAAACGGGCAGATCGTGACGTTCAGGCAGGTGGATTATCCAGGATCTGTGAGGCTCCAGCAGGTCACACTGGGGGCAAAGCTGCGGCTCCACGGTTCCCCGGATAATTAGATCAACAATGAGGATATTTAAATGGGCTGGAGAAGGAGAACACAGTGGCCATCTGAAAGGTAAAACATCAAGAGTTTCATTTTGGACTCGGCTGGTTTTTTAAATTCATTCCGTAATATTGGTGAAATAGAACCAGTTCCAGTTATATTTCATTTATGACAACATTTTCTCCATGTTATAAATGAAATAATCTCCCAGTGAAACCAGTAGTTTTTCATCTGATTGACCTAAAATTGTTACTTATACGACAGTTTTGTCTCATTTTAAGTGAACTCAGATATTTGCACTAAAAACTAAACCAAAAAACTTAAGATTTTGTGTTTTTGCAGTGCAGATCAGTTTATTTCTAAATGTTAAGATTCAAAGTCAATTCCAATTTTATCCCAGTTATCTAATAACACAAAAAGTCTCCTTACAGAAACAACTTCCTATTTCTATTTTTGAAAATCTTTTAATGACTTTAAAACTGATAGTTATGACTTTTAAACTCAAAATTATGATTATTATTCTTGTAATCATTGTATTAAAACTTGTAATTGTGACTTTGAAACTCGTTATCATTACTTGATTTTGAAAATCTATTTCTCTTTTAAAATTGCTTTGTTTCCCGTTATATGTTGTATTTCATGGCAAAAATGGGCTTTTGTAAATATTAACAACTTCAAAAACAAAAACAAAACAAAACACTGGAGTTGAGCATCAAAACTTGTGAACAAAACTTGATGTGAACAAAAGCTAGCTTGTTTCCCGACAGAGTCTTGTTAAATCTGGGAAAGTCGCCTGTGATTATGGCCTGTGTCATCTATTGATTTATTATTTGTAAACTTTTAGCCCAAGACAAAACAGATTGTGTTGCATAGGAATGAGGACAAATTAAAACATAAACCACCTCTTTTTGCTGAAGGAGATCCATTATGCTGTCGTAAACAGGTTAGGATCCAACTCAATGCTTACAAAATGGCTGCAAACAGATGCATAATTATACAACCGGACAGCTTTGAACGGCATTAGTTGAGTCTCCTGCGCAATCAACAAGAATGCAGCAAGAGGTGTCTGGATGGTAAGTCAATTACAAAAGACTCGTCTTTTCCAGCAGCCATTGTACGGCACATATAGCAGTAAAACCAGCTGACCAAAAGTCCTGGAACTGGGTTGCTGGGCAATGGGGCGGAGCTCAAGGGGTTACCAGGTAATTCAACAATCTGAACTTTTCCCAATAGATCACCTTTAATACGGGATTATTTGCCATTTTTGCACCTGTTTTGTTGGCCTTATAAATATCTGCAAAAATGTTGAAAAGAAAAAAAAAGAAAAAGATGATAAACTCTTGTTTCTTCGATGTAAAAACTGATCGAAGTGATTCTGATTGTTGTTTATTGTCGCACTCATTTTTCATTCACGGTCCTTGATCCTCTGAAGCGAAACCGCCTGCAGAAAAATCACAATTTCTCCCGTATTCACCCAAATCCGTCTCTGTCCAACAGAGTCCAGAGCCGCGCGGAGCGGTAATCCATCACCGCGGCTCTGACCTTGGGACACGGACAGCATGGCGGCGGCGGCGGCGGCGGGGCTGAACTTACAGCCGCTCCGACCGGATGGGCAGGAACATGGATGCTGCTTCCAGCTGGAATGGTTTCACTGTGTGACTAAAACATTCAGAGTGAGTTCTGAGGTTTAAATACCAGCTCGTCTGACCGGATCGGAGGGAGGAAGTGAGCGAAACTTTTGGGACGAGAGGCGAATAAAAAACGCCGTCTGCACCGTTCGCAACGCTCAATCACAGTTGTTTACCTTTCCTCTCTTTAAGTTTCAATTTGTCACCCGGTGCAGCGAAGGATTTCTCACAAGACTTTTGAATTTCAATCAGGATCTTGAGGTTCACCTCTCTGCATTTGGCATTTTAGAGCAACTATAGAGGCGTCTAAAAGTTTTCTTACTCCTTCAACTCTTTTCTTGGACAATTTATCATCTCCAGAAACTTTAACAAGATTCTGGAGAGATTTCAGGCAAAGAGCCTGAGGAGAAAAGAGACGCGTGGTTGCTGGATGTTAAATTAAATAAAATCTTAAACAATAATATTGTTGTTTTGTAACCATTTTCTAGTAATATAATGGCAGAACACATTCCCAAATACCAATAAGCATTTTACTGTTTAAAGGCAGTTTAAATATCCAAATAAATAAACAAAACAACAGAAACAATAAACAAAATAATTTATGAAGTCTGCAAATAAAATTATCTTCCAAAAATAAAGAGCTATTCTTCACCAGACTGAAGACTTTTAATATCCAGTTTTTGGAAGAAAGAGGAAAATGATAAATAATGCAAATTAAAAATATTGAAGTCATTTTAATAAGAAGAATTAAACAATGCTTAACTAATAAAAACTAGCAAACACATTCTAAAAACTAATACAAACTGAACAAACAAGAAATATCAATGAAATAAAACTAAACTAAGACACAAAGCTATTGTATCCCTGCTTAAACAAAACGCAGCAGCGCATTGCTAACCCGCTACTAGCGCAACTAATTTCTGTGTTTCTGTTAAGTTTCAAAACGTTTAGCGCTTTTAGTATTTATTCAGAAAAATAAATCTAGAGGAAGCTAAGAGTGCGAACATTTTTAAAGTTAGCTAAAGCATTAATTCAAAAACTGGCTCTAAGTAAATCAGCATTTTACAATTTATCTGGAAATATTCATTTAGGTGAAGCTAAGTGTGCTAAACGTTTAGCAAAAGTGTAAAAATAGCTCTGCTATTAGCGTTAAGCAGAAATGTGCCCACTGCTGTAAATAAGTTATATTTATTACATAGAAATCAAATTAAACACATTGAAGGTTTAATCTGTGAGCACAGCTTGTATAAAACATCTGGTTTTTCTGCAAACTGAGTCACTTTAATTTGCACCGACTTCAATCGAAGCTGCAAAATACAATCAAACGGTGACAATTTTAAAACTGTAAAATCCGCCTGTTGGGGAAAATTAAACAGCATTTGGAAGTCGGCTGTGCTTTCTGTTAGCAAAACAAATAAATACAGAAACCCTTATCTCAGCTTAAATAGATCTCTTTACGAATGCATTATTCATGTGCCCTTCAGCAGACATGGCTTTAAATTATAGCTGGGAAACATTTCTCTTGCCTCGTTGCGGGGTGAATATATTGCCCTTTTAAAGCATCAGCAGGCCCGGTTGACACTAATGATTCCGGCTACAGCGACTATAACCTACTCTACGTATCTGTCGGTTCGGAGAATAAATCCAACTGTCACAACAGGGAAAGGTGAGAGGAGATTTGTGTATTCCTGCAAACCTCATTGAAACACAGCAATGTCAGAATAACTTCCTCATCCCGACTAATATAAATAAATAGAAGATGAACAATATAGGCAGCTTACAGCAGCGTATTAGGGTCATTATAAACAGAAAGAAGGAAACTGAAACTGAGATTGAGTTTTAGAGAAAATTTTTAAATTTCTGAGTATGAAAAGTTGCAAATTTGCTATAAAGAAAATCAGAAACTTGAAAATTTCTACGACATTTTTTGAATTTCTGAAGTGGAAAATATGATAACAGAAAGTAGGAAGTTTTGTGATTAATTTTAGGAAATATTAAAAGTTTGAATATTCAGCTTTCTGTGACTTTTGAGTTTCAAATGTCAAATGTTTGACTTTTGAAACTCATACATTTTTCAGAAAAAGCTTGAAAATTTCTGCGCTTGATCACAAATTTTCTACTTTTCTATTAGCAAATCTTTAAATTTTAAAACATATTCTTTGTCTTTTCTAGAAATTTAAGAGTAATCTTAATATTTCAGAATTTCTCTCACAACTTTTCCACTTTTCAAATTCTGAAATTTTCTAGAAAATTCCAGATATCAATCCCAAAAACCCAGATTTGTTTTTGGCAGAAATTGACTCCTCCTGTTTTTAAATCTTTTTACCTACAGTGGCCCCGGTACGCTGCCGTAGCAGCCTGTGCTCACATCGGAGTTATTTTCCGCCCGCTCAGAGAATCCTGACAGTGAGACGGAGCCGTAACACGAAGCTCAGGATGTACAACGGTAATTTGAAGGAGAATAAAGAAAGAAAAGGCCTCAGCCCGGCAGAAAATAGCTCCCCATTTCCCTCTGTGAGATAACGAATAAAGAGCTTCTGTAAATGTCAGTTTGTGGGGGAGGTTAATGGCAGGTGTGCCACAGGGTAAATGAGAGTGTTTAGCTGGAAAGAGCTTCATGATATTTACAGTAATGGGACAGTTTGGGTGATACCTGGAGGGAAATGGAGGCGTCCCACTGGGATAATTATGTGGGCCGGTGTCATTCTCATAGAGCCGGTGCAGCGGCGCGAACGTTGCATGTCACCTCTCGCTCCAACTCGTTTAGGGAAAACATTGAGAAACTGGCGTCGGGGCAGGTGAGGAGATTTATTCAGGTTGCATAAAATCATGATAACGCAGCAGCAGAGGATTTAAAATATACAGAAAACCTGGGATTGTTGTTGCTGTGGTTTGAGCTGGAAAGGTGTTAAGCTGCTGCTGGCTTCAAAAAAGGAACAAATCCTCAAATATATCAAAATAAAAAAAATATGCAGCAGCTTTTCTATTCATGAGCATCTCTGGTAAAAATGTATAAACCTTAAAACATTAATCTTCCATTGCAGGAGGGGAAAATGATAAACTTAGGAGAAAAACACAATATTTTCATTTATTTTAAATTATAGATGAAACAACTGAGAATTTTAAGATGGTATAATTTACTTTTCCTGTTTTATGTCTAGAAACATTGAATCTGTAATGTTCTGGTATGACAATAAAAATAAAAGCAAATTTACAGAAAAAATGAATTTCTTGCTTTCTTTCATAAAAAATGTTAGAAATGATAAAAAATATTTTCAAATACTGGCTTTTATTTGTTGTCCCTTCTGTGAGTTGTAAGATGGAGTAATATTTATTAAGAGATTATTGTCATAATATTAGCAGAAGGAAGAAGAAAGAAGTAAAAGTTATTTAAATGTGAAAGCAGCTTGAAAAATGTTATTTTAATTTTATTGCTA